AAAAAATGAATTCAAATTTTCTCGCTTTATTATAATAATAATATTTATAGAAATTTAATATTTAGTTTGGAATATGCTTAGAGCAACTACACTTAATAACAAAGTACCCATAAATAAAATTGTAAATTATTGTATACACAGTAGTTATGAGTGATCAGCTTGTTATAATAGGAAAATATAAATAAAGAGAACATTAGACTAATAATTTATTAATATTTTTTATTTTATTTATTTATTAATTTAATAAATAATTATGATTAATATTTAAATATTTATAAAATAAATAAAAATTATTTATATTTAATTCATTTACACTCTTAATAATAAAATGATCGCACGCAATTTTACATTTTTTATCCAAAGAATTTAATTCCATTACTTCCATTTAAGCCTTTTTTTTTTTAATGTTTATGGTTTTCACGAGTTTCACACACACCAAATTACCAAAAAAAAAAAAAAGCCTAGTAAATAGTAATAATTGTTGCACCTGAAATTTCAGATTTGTTTGGGGAGAGAGAAAATCTAGTTAAATTTTACTGAGTTAGAGACTCAGAAAGTTCGGTAGAGATTCATTTCTGATTCTGACACACAATCTCTCTCTGTCTGTCGCATCGGTTTCAAAATATTTTGGTCGACGGCCAACAGTAGTCACGTGTATATCTTCAATAATTTTGGTTTTTTTTTCTTATGTAAAATATTTACAGCGAACAATTCGAGGAAAGGACTTTCTTTGTTTTGCTGGCTGATCCGCTCTCCCAGTATTTGAGCATGCATTGATTTTTTTTTTTAATTTTATAAACTTGTTTTTTAATCACTTGATTTCTCATTTCATGATTTAAATCCAAGATTTTTCACCAATTTAATAGTTTGAGTTGAACAGATAAATTTCAGTATGGTTTCGAATTTTTTTATTTTTATTTTGATTATATTTTATTTTTTAAATTTAAATTATTTTATTTAAATTTTAAATTTTTAAATAATTTTAGTTTGGTTATTTCTTCAAATAATTTTGTTAACGTTTAAAGAATATCGACATGTCACTCATATTTTCTTTTAATTATCAATGAAAAAATAATAAAAATTTAAATAAAATTATTTTTAAAAAATCAAAGATCTATTAGATGAGCTGTTGAATAATTTAAAATTTGACAAACATTTTAAATTTAAGAAGTCGAACTTATTTCAAGCTTTTTGAATATTTTGAATATTTTAAATTATTAAAATTCAAAATTTAATAATTAAAATTAAAAATTAAATATTTTATTAACAGATTATATATAGTATTTTTAACATTTTATTATCTTTTAATTGACTATCTACTTATTTGATAACGGGAGGTAAATTAAAAAAGAAATGAAATGAAAGAAATTTTCAAAATTATGATTAAAAACATGGTTGGCTTCATATATATTGTCATTCACATAAATTTCAGGTGGTAAAAAAATAAAAATAAAAATTATATATGCTTTTTAAAATTTAACCTTTACATATATAATTTATTTTAGATGTGAAAAACACTTGTCGAATACTCGAGGAGGAAAAAGAAAAAGAACAAGTTGGGACAGCCATGGAGGCCACAAACTGTCGAGAAATGCCGACGTACATAAGCGGGAGGTGAGAGACGTGTCATCGGCAAAAAAGTTGCGGTAGCTTTCAACTACTAAGCCAAGGCCAAAAGTCCACCTACCACATCCTATTTACCTCTTATCATGCTCTTACTTTTCTCTTTCGTTAATCCTCACCAAACCCTCTTCTCTCCTTTTCATTATATTTTTCTTAATTCTCATTAATTATTGCATATTTAATTGGATTATTTAACTCAATAATAGATTTATTTTTTATTAAAATTAAATTTAAATTATTAATAAAATATTAAATTTTTTATTTCAATTAACACGGTTTAATTTTTGATAATCTTAAATATAAAATAAAAAAATAAAATTGAATCTCTCATCTCCAATATTAAAAAAAAATCATTAATCATTATTATATTAATGATTATTAACTTTCAATAATTATTTCCTCATTATAAAATATTGTTTTTAGTGTTATAATATCAACAACTTTCTCCCACTCAACTTTTTCCAAAATGGAAAAATTTTTTAGACTTTTTTAAAGATATTATGTTGAGTAAATATCTAAGTCATGGTGTGATAAAAATCTTTAAAAATCTTCTCTTACTGTTTCTATAGTTGGAATCTCCCTTTGATCAGCTTCATGGGAAGGGTCAACATTCAAAGATGACATCATATAAGATTCCTTTTTTTTTTTTAACTCATGGCACATAATGAAAATGACTCAATAGCTTTTGGAAATTTATTACAAATTATTGTTGCGTTGCCATGAAATTTCAACCGCATATATAGTTGGTAAATGGAAAAGCAAAGCAAGAAACAGGAAAGCAAGATTCTTTTTAACATGTCCTGTTAGCCACCCATCTTAATTTAGACTATAAAAACTCATAGGTTGGTGAGTAATTTCTAAGTATAATTTTTTTATAAAAAAATTAATAATTTAGAATTAAATTAAAGAATTATGGGTATTATAATTTAAATTATAATTTGGATGAAGTCACTTTTAAAAAATAATTTTATGAATTATTGAGTTAAACATCGAGTTTAATATATAATTACATATTTAAAAATAATTTAGACTAAAAAACCTCAAGATTGGTGAGTAATATATTTTTATTAAAAATCATTATAATTATAGATTTTATTATATTTCATTTTTTTAAAAATAATTTCATGAATTTTTGAGTTAAACATCGAGTTCAATATATAATAGTACAGATTTCAAAACAATTAGATTGGGACTATGCTCTTTGTGTCTTTATACAAAGTTGTTTCTTTCATTCGTCTAATTCTACAAAGCATATTGAAAAAGTAGTAGGAAAATTTTTCTTCCCATAACTAATATTCGTTTATAATTCTTTTGGATCCATGAAATAATCACATGTTTGATTTTGAAAAAATTAGATCAAACCAATATCCGATTGAATTTAAACATAAAATCAAACCCTAATTTTTGTTCTTAATAACGAACAATAACTAATAATATAACCTTAAAAATTTTGAAATTACAAGAAATTATTAGTTATGCTTAAAATTATAAAATTTTCTATGGTTTAGAATTAATATTATGGATGCAGAAATTGATCCTATTTTAGGATTGGTAGCAGTAAGCTGCTTTGTTATTAATTTTTTTGGTGTTATAATGCTATCAAGCAATGTAAATCTGATTTGCTGAAGAAAATGCAAAAGGGTAATCATGTATCTTAATAACAATTAAAAAAAAAATTTGATTGAATTTTAAAAGCATGACAGCTACTCACATTTATTTTTTGGTAGAAAGCATGGCAACTACCCACTTGTTCATGCCTTTTGCTTCCTAATTGTTGTTTGGCATTTATAAAAAAAAAAAATTACTTTAAAATTCAATTTTTGCTTTGTTTAAATTTAGTTGTAATCTTTTTATTGCATTCTAATTAAAAAAAAGTTTTGAAATTAAAAATTAGATAAATTTTTAAAATGAGTATTTATTTTTTTATTTTATCAATTAAATTTGGTAGAGGTCGGCTTTGTTCCTATTAAAGCAAAGTCAATTATTCAATTCAAACATAACATTTTCTTTTACAGAGAAAATTAATTTGAGTTATTGAGATTTTGATTTAATTCTCGTTTGGATTCAACCGTATTTTTTGTATGATAATATTGAATTTATTGTATCATCAATTAAATTTAAATATTAATTTCAACAAATTTCATTCAATATAAAATTTTCATTAATTTTTTTTTCAATTGCAATAATAATAATAATAATGATAATAATAATTTTAAATATTATTACAATTAATTTCATCATCAATCCAAAAATTTTTTTAATAATAATAAAAATTTAAAAATTTTGAAGCCTCAAATTCAAATCTTATCATATATGAATTGGTCAAATTTTATTTTGAATATATCTAGTTATATATTAGTTTGTTAAAGGATTAGTTTGTTTTTATTTAAATTTAACGATCTTTAAATAAATTTAATTTAAAATACTAAAAGGCTTATGAATTTTTTTTAAGTTTTTATTCTTTTATGACAGTAAAATAAATTATTTATTTTTATTCAAATAAAATTTCAAACTTTAATTTATTTTAAACATAAAGTTAACTTTTGTTATAGTAAATGTTAATTGAATTTTTTTTATCCACATGAAAACTGACATGAGCTAATATCGAAAAAAAAAAAGGAATAATTTCTTAAAAAATAAAAAGATAATAATTTTCTCTCCTCTCCTCCGGATTCTCATTCTCCATCCCTTAACCAAAATCTATTTCGGCCATTATCTGGCCGAATCAAGCCAATCGAGGTCAAATTCAGGATCAACAAGACTGTAAAGAGTAAACTACCTTAAAACGGACCGTAATAATAAACAATACTAGATCTAGCTCAAGATTTGACCTTTTGAAGTCGTTTTAGCTTGTTTTAAGGTCGTTGTCGATGACGATGGTGTCAGATTCAGCCTCGACTAGTCTGATCTGATTGAGCAGCAACTACAAAAACCCGGGTTTTGTGAGATTGAGAGTGAGAATGGCATGGAAAATGGAGAAAATTTTTTTTTTTTTTTTAATTTTGACTTTTCATATTAAAACCAACTCTTCACATCAATTTTTACGTGAATAAAAAAATTTAATTGACATTACCGATAAAAATCAATATTTAATTTATAAAAAAATTTATTTAGATGCCACTTAAATTATAAAAGCATATTTAAATACAATAAAAACATAAAAAGTTACTTAAAAAATAAAAAAATTTATGAACTTTTTTATTATTTTAATCTATAAATATAAAACTTTATTACCTTGTAACCTTTAAGCTTAAACGAGGATTTTGTAAAAAAATGAAAAATAAAAAATAAAAAAGGTGGAATTTAAAGTTTGACGTAATAATTGTAACAATAAATGTATTTTAATTTTACGTTCTATCAACAATTATTAACATACAAAACAAAATAAAATCAATTATATTATAAAAATATTTACCCAACAACAGCTGCGAAGATAACATCAACAATTTCTTTTTGCTTGTTGTTGAATCCATTGATGAATTAAAAATTCTCAAGAGAACAAAAGAAAAAAAATAAAGAAAGCAAATTAAAATTAATTTCCCTTTTTTTTTTTTTGCAACATGGGTTTTGCTAATCTTCCCTAGATGGGCACCAAGGCGTCATATCCATTGGGTAACTGCCCAATACCCTCAAGAAAGAGGTGAACTCCTGAACTTCAGCCAACGCGTTTTGGGCCCTGACCTCAGCCATCGACGCTTCGAAATCCACGTAAAACAAATACTCAAAATGCTTGGCGGTTCCCACATTGGCGTCGTCGACCAACCGGATAGGCATATTGCGGTGCGGCCGCGACTCGATTTTCGTCAAACTGATATTTCTAAACGCAAACGCCGAAAGTACTTTAAAGAGCACGCTCGTTCCTTTATCGTGCGCGAAAACGATGCTCGTTTTGAACGGACGGTCCGTGCGCGGGATAATTGGCTCCCGAGCTAACATAACGAAGCGCGTGACGTTACTCGAATCGTCTTGGATTCCATCGGCTAGGATTTGGAGTCCGTAGAGTTCGGCAGCACGTGCGCTTGCTATGGCGGCTGTGTCACGGAGGTTGTTGGTTGCAATGTACTCGGCAGCTCCGGCTGTGTCATCGACGGCTTCGCGCGTGACGTTGAGGCCTAGTTTGGTGATAGTGTGTTCACACTGGGCGAGAGCTTGTGGATGAGAAATGACACGTGTCAGATACTCTTTCCTGACTCCTGGGAGAGCTAAGAGGCAGTGGTGGACTGGTAGTTGGACTTCACCAACGATGTGGAGGCGGTGCCGCAGGAGGAGATCGTAATTCCGATGAATCGAGCCGCCGAGTGAGTTTTCCACTGGTAAGACGGCTCGATCGGCGATCCATAGCTCAACTGCTTGAAACGCGACTTCGAACTGGTCACAAGGGATGGCTTCACAGTTAGGATAAGCTTTTCCCGCCGCAGCTTCGGAGTAAGCCCCAGGGACTCCTTGATAGGCCACACGCAGCTGAGACCCGTGCATCGGAGCGGGGGACAGGTCGGTGATTGTTAACGGCTTCCGTGGAGGCGGTTGGGAAGGTGGTTGAGGCTTGTTGTTCTTGTCGATAGGGACTAAGTCCAGATCAAAGGAGGTTTTATAGCCGTTGACGGTGGCGGCGAGGTGATCAGAGGCGGAGGGAGAGGTGGATTTATCGCCGGAATCTTGGTCCTGTGAAAACACTTTGCTAGAGAGAATAGCACATGAGCTTTGCCAATCCGCACGGCTGGAACCGACTCCATTGGGGAATTGGACCGAGTCAGAGCGATACACACAACTGATCGCGTACCGAGTCAGCTGGTTGAACCGAGGCTTCGACTGGCGAATTATAGAAGAGTTAAGATTTTGCGTCGGAGAAACCCCCTGCATTTTTTTTTTAAAGCTTGGTGTTCTCTCGGAGTAGGGAACGTCAAGCTGGGAGGAAAAGAAAGGGTAGGGGGGATTTTATATTAAGAAAGGCAAAGGGCAGAGTCTTAGAGAGGATGGTGCGTGTGCTGGTTGGTTCGGTCATTCTCACACCTACCCCCCTTCTGTTTTATTTATTTGCCTATTTTGAAAAAATATATAAATTTATTTTTTTTATATTCACATTTTGATGTACTTCACTCATATGTTGACTAATAAAATATAATTCGGCACGTGTGAAGTTACTTTTTTTTTTCTTTTTTATAAAAAATAACTCAAGCCAAAAACTAATTTCTTTTATATTTTAACATTTTGATTTTGATCAATTTATAGATTTTTTAAAATTTTTAAATTTTATAATTAAATTTATATATATTCAAGACATTCAAAATTTAAATTTAAATTATTAAAATTATCATAATAAAATAACAAAAATGAAAAATTGTCATAATAAAATTATCAAAAGAATATATGAAAAAAGATAAAAAAAAAAAGTTTATAACATGCTAGCATTTCTAATATTCTTATGATAATATTAATAATGCATTATTATATTCAAATTTGAATTTATATTTGAATATTGACACAGCCAAATCATTTTCTTCAAAGAAATTTTTTTTTTCGATGTAAGTATGCATCTATGTTATTTTTACATTATTCATTTCTTCATACAAATATATATTTTATTTTAGAATTTAAAATTTTTATAATTATAATAAAAAATATACTATTGTTTTATAAAAATAAATATGATCCATAAAAATAAAAACATAATAATTTGGGAAAAAAAAAAAAGAGAATGAGGAAATTTCTTCCAAGGTGCGAGGAGACCGCAAACAAACGATGTTCTAAGGTTTTGTTTTTAGAAAATGTGGACCCATAATTGCCAATAATTAGTATGTATAGTTTTTGCCAATAATTTTGTCCCAAAGATGGGCAAAGTTCACGTGATCACTGCCACATTGCCAAGCCACATGGGGTTGGTCCCAACACTTAAAAAAGGAGGGCCATTTTTTTTTTCTTTTTGAGTAAAAAAATTGAAAAAATAAAAATTTAATTTAAAATTATAATGTTCGATTTATTTTGAAATAATTTTTTGTTGTTTGGATTAAATTTTAATATTAAATATATATATTAAGTTTAGATCAAATTTTAGATCAAAATAAAAAAATAAAAAAAATCAAAATTATATATTTTTATTAGTTTTTAAATATTTTTTAAAATGTTATAAAATAAACTAATTATTATTTTTACATAAATCTATTAAAATATATTAAAAATTATATTAAAATAATATAAAAATAAAAAAATAAAATTTAAAAATCGATGAACCAAATTGAATCAATAGAATTTAATTTAAATCATATCAATTTAAAAAAAATCAATTTAAATTTAAATCAAATTTTAAAAATTAATAATACTATTTATTATTTTAAAAAATAATTATATTCAATTATATTCAAATTATTATCACTCCTAACTTGACAAAAGTTTTAATTTATTCTACTCTAGTCAAATTGTACCATAAGTATTTCTTTATTAAAAAGAAATGGTGGATTTAATCCTTTAAAATTATTTCATAAAAATAAGTTTCTCAAATTTTATGGATTTTAAAATATAATCCAATTATTAATGGTGTTATAATTTTTTTTCGTTAAGTATGATGATGTGATAATGATGTGGCATTGATTTTTACAATACGACATTTTAAAAATAAAAAAAGATTACATAAATTTTTTGATAATTTAAAAATAATAAATAATTGACAGATGGATAATTAATGTACTTGCATTTAATTAACGTCAAATTTTTGTCACCACACATTTAAAACCTAATCTTTCTCACCATACATTTAAAAACACCATAAATAATCTCATATTCAAGAGTTGTTCTCAAAATTAAATATATTTTCCTAAAACAACTCTCCTTGTTAATTTAAGGGTTGATTTTGTATAGATATAATAATTTATGTATTTATATTATATAAAATATTAATAATTATATATTTATATTATATTTTATATAAAAATTACATATTATAATTTATGTTAACATAAAATATAAAATATATTTTTTATTTTATTAAATTTATTTATAATTTTTTAAAAAATTTTAAATCGTATTATTTTTATATTTATTTTTTATATCGTATTATCGTATTGTGTTTGAAATTATCAAATGTAATTTTGTACCACAAACTTTCAATTTTTTTTTTCTTGAGATTGCTAGTTGTGGTAGGAAATTAATCAAGCACAAGCATGGCCGAACTTTGGTATAGAAAGAGCCAATAATGCAGTGAAAAATATAGTACTTGGTTGTTTGTTTTCATAAAAAAGAGTGAAGGATAACAAGAAGAAAAAAGGGTACATATAATTATATAAATTGGTTATGTTTATTGTAGGACTCAAAAGATTAATTTTAAGACTTAATTAATTATCTATTATAGTACCATTTGGCTCAATTAGGCACATTCTATTAGGATAAGCCATTTGTGTGGCATTAACCTTTTGCTTTTTCAACATGATCATTGATCCCACTAAACTCCCACTAATTTCCAATCTCCCCTACAAACCCACTTTATCACACATAAGAAAAAAAAATCAAGTTTTCCTTTGTTAGATGCATTAATTAGTTTGACATTAAACTTTTTTGTGTCTTGGGTGGCAATGAGGCACATTTACAATAACACCAAGATTTTTTCATGGATATTCTCTTGAATGGTTTAAATTCGGGAGGCTGTAAAAAATAATTTTTTTTTATAAATTCATTAAATCCGACATAAATTAATAGAAAATGAAATGTATTAGGTGAAATTAAAAACTTTTTATTGCTCAAGAAAAAAAATTTCCCCCAAACAAAAATAAAACATTATCAGTAAATTAATTTATCAGGGCTTTATGATCCCATTGATTAATGATTATCATAGTAAAATCTTATGACTAATCAAGTGGATTAAAATGATTAAACAGTCGATTTACTATTAATTATGGAGTTTTGGCTAGGGATAACAGTTCAACCCATGCCTGACAGGTTTTGATCCAACTCAATTTTTAAGATTATTTTTTTTTTAACTCAAATTTTGGGTCGGCTCGAATAATTGTAAAATAAAGTTAAGGCCTGGTTTTAGATAAATCCGTTTCAACTCGATCCTATATATATATATATTATTTTTTAATTAATTATTTAATTTTATATTTATATATATATTTATATATTTATTTAATTTTATATTAATATTTTAAAAATAATATTCTATTAATTACAGATTGAATCGAATTGGATACAATTTTATATAATATCGAATCGAATAGAATTTAAATATAATAATAAAAAAATTATTAAGTCGAATTCAAGTATTATAAATATAAAATTCGATCAGGTTCAAAACGAGTACAAATCTGTCCTACTTCAACCCGTTACCATTCCTAATCTCAGTTGAAGTAATTAACCAAGTTACATTTCTAGATAGCTTTTGACATAACAACCACGTCACAAAGCTTCTCCAATCTCATAAGTCAAATCCAATAAGCTTATTATATTTCTCTTTAGTCATTTTTCAAGCCTTGCTTTTTTGAAATTGAAGGATTTAATTACCTAAGCTATTCAACCATGAACCATATGAACTAAGTTCAATTAAACTTGATTACTTCAAACGGCGGTCAGATTGAAGTAGGTGAGACGAAAATCGTAGAGACCAATTTTGCCACCTAACAATTTTGCACTTCAAATTTATTTCTCTTATATTATATGAAAATTTATCTTATATATAACTCATTCCACTATATTATTATAAAATAAATTAAGAAATTAATAATATTTTATAACAATTAAATTAATATATGATAATACTTTAATTTTATTCGTAAACTTTAAAATTTTCATAATTGATATATAAATTAATAATTTAATTCAAATACTTCTTTCCTCAAAATCAAGAAAAATAGAAAATATCTTATAAATTATGATAATGATTTTTTTTATTATTATTTTTTTATCTAAAAGGTCCAAGCTAAGTCTGATTAATTCCAAACACAAATTGGACCACAGTTACGTGCACATAAAATCAACGAGGCTTACATAGGAACAACATTTAGTCCATGATAATTTGATTGAGTATATTGTAAGTTTCAATGAAAATTTAAATTTAAATTATAGATCGTTTGTCAAAAGACATTGTTAATAATAAAAATTGAATCTAAATTTTATAAAGAAAATATTTAATCTTTACTAATCGACCAACCTCGTTGACAAAAATTTTATCGGTACTAATATTTATAAAGGTTTTAGAAAAATAGCTTTTGTAGATAATATAGATAAGTTCTTAACCCAAATTTAATTCATGATTAGACTTGATGATTTGTATAATTTTATTATGTAAAATATTAAAATATATATATTCGTATCATGTTTTATACGAAAATTATGTGTCATAATTCGTTATTACATAAAAATATAAAATATAATTTTTTATTTTATTAAACTCATATATAATTATTATTACAATTTTAAATCGTATCAACTTCATATTTTATTTTTGTATTATATTTATATCGTATTTTATATTATTAAATTTATTTATGATAGTCTCGTATATAAAATAAAGTAAAATAAAAATTGCATGACAAAAAAATAATAATAAATCTCGAATTGCTGAAAATGTTATATTGAAGATCCAAGGAATCTTGTACTTTGCCAAGAAGGAATCTTGTATTATGCCAAGATGTGGGGCTGATTTTGTTTTTTATTTTTTTTATTTTTTTATTTTTGACACGTCATTTGGCTGGACTTTGATTGTTAAGTGAAGCAGCAGCAGATAGCATGTGTTGAATGTAGGTGTTAGCTGATCATCTTAACTATTTTTCATTTATTACTATTTAAAAACCCCCCAATAATTTGATCAATAATTTACACAATGAAGAGGTGATTTCATGTTGACCTTTTTCAATATAATTTTTTTGCCAAAAAAATTCAATGTATATTATATATTTATATTATGCAAATTGAATTCAGAACATGTTTCTCTTACCCTTACCCTAATTATAAGGAAAAACATCAACATTTTGCTGATGAATTTTTTTTTTTAATATATTTGAAGGATCGGATTTTCATATCTTTATCTGGTTAAATATACATCAAACATAATTATTTTAAAGAAGATGAAAAATCCGAACAAGCAGCGAATGATATTAAACCTTAACAGGGAGGAAACATTGTCAGTTTGATCACATGCTTTTGTGTTAAGAAATTGGGCATAGCTCTGCCTCAGTGTCATCAAAACCAGTTGGCAACTGCTGCTGAAAAATTATGGCCCGTTAAGTTTTAGTTACTTTGAAGCTATATAAATGGCTGAAAATGAAATGATTTGTACAGAAAAATGTCATCTTTTTGCACCATGTTGGAAACAATAGTTTCACAGTTACCATCCATTCTAACCTTAAAACTACAGTAACCGAACTTTCAAAAGGCAGAAGCACTTTCACTTTTGTGGTGTGGACAATGAAATAGGAGTATAAATGATGTATTGGTATTAAAAAGTTATTCGAATTCGATTCGAATAAAATTTGAATTTGACTCAGTTATTATTGAATTGAGTTTAAACTTAAATAACTCAACTTATTGATCGAGTCGAGTTCAAGCTTAAGTAAATTGTGAGCCTAATTAAGTTTTTTATATTTTAGTATATTTTAATTATTTTAATTAATAATATATTTCAAAATTAAACATAAATAATAAAATTTTTATCGAATATGAGAATTGATATTATTTTTACAAGTTAATCGAACTTAATCAAATGAGTTGGAATAATTCAATTTTTATCTTGAATAAAGTTCGAGTTAAAAAAATAAAATTCAATTGAATTCAAACTGAATTTTGAATCTCAAATTTGGAGTTGAGTTCGAGTTTAATACTGTATCAAACTTGATCAATTATATTCGTAATGTGAAGTTGAAAACATTAAAAAAATAAAAATAAAATTAGTAATAGTTAAGCATTCAATTAAATTCTATTGATAATAATTAAAGAAATTTAATTTGAATATAAAATCATAAAAAATTCAGTATTTAATATATATAAATAACAACACTTTAACATGCTTTCATTACATATAAATGAAAATAAAAGCTTATCAAGTAACAAACCGGAAAAGAATGACAAATAGAAGTAACATACAATAACAAAACAGAACCCTGAGTTAGTTTTGATATTACGTTAAAATCAATTGGTAATAGATAAAAAAAACCAATTTGAAGACAAATTATAGAAAATCTAATATTTAAAAAATGTGAAATAAAAGCAGTAATAGCATTAATATACCAGAAAATCCTAACAAGTTCTTCTGTGAGATCAGCTGGTCAAATTTTCTTTCTAATATCATTTCATTGTTGACCTTCATGCAGGATTGGTCTTTGATATGATGATAGAGGATGTGATGTTTAGATGACTTGGTTGAACTGTCACTCAGAAAATATTTAGATCTCTTCAACTTCCACGTTTTAACTCATCAGAATATAGTAAAATACATAGAACATGGAACAAAGCCATCGGCTTTTGTGATGGAAAAAGCTGCATTAATCATCATTCTAGAAGTGAATTGTCTGTCTTTATGAAATCAAGAAACAATTGGTAAATCAAATCTAGCACAGTTGAAAAGAAGCTAATCAAATAATAATGGGAAAATGTACAAAAAGATGGAAAAAAAAGTCTTCATCAAAAGTGAAATGTCCCTCTGGACAATTTCGGTGACTCAAAAACTAGATACAGTGTTTATAAATTTAGAATTACAACACAACTGGATCCCTCTGGATCCTCAATGTACACAAATAACTTATCTCTACAGCTCCTTTTAGCCCCAAAAAAGTCCCATCGTGTGAGCAAAAAAGAAACAGTTCTGACGGCTATTTACCAATATAAGCCCAAGGGTATGCCTTTAAAATCACAGTGCGGAGCAGTGATCCCCATGAATGTCTTATCTGATGAACTTGATGATGTGAAGATGGCTTAACAGGCCTAGAAAAAATTGTCAAAGCCCAACCCACTTTACCCATCTGAAAATCCGGCAGACCCGGAAGGTCAACTCGTAGTCTTTGACGACTGTAGGTTCCGTTCTTGCAGCCTCTGATTCAGACCACACGTAAATCCCGCGTTCTTGCGGACTTCCAGGTACGGTGTTGTCCAATATAACAGCCACAAGGAATGCCATTACCATGTGAAATGATAGCATCGTATTCATAACGTAGTTTACCTGCCAAAAAGACATTAAAAAGCAGATGCTTATTTATAGGTGAAATATTTTATGGCAGCTAGTTTTGAATCAGAACATTCAAAGGCATCCAGTGATAATAATGGAGCATGGCAGAGCCTAACATTTTCTTGGATTCTATTGAAAGGATTCACTAATAACGAATGGTTCCATGATCGTAAAGTTTCCATTGCCCATGTATATCCTTTCCATTTTTCACCAACAATTAAATGTGCATAAGACTACATAGAATTCGTAAACACCGAGTTCGTAGTTAAATGAAAGTTAATGAGACACATACCCCTCCATATTTACTGCGGAAAGGTCCATGAGATGCCACGATAAATGGTTGAAAATAACTTAGAAGAGACAAGTTGGAATTTGGAGAGATGCCATATTGCTGAAAGTAAGCTGGTATTGAGAGGGAGAAAAATAAAAATAATCCAACCATTATGATATTCCGAGAGCTTCCGGCCTCACTATAACATAGATTTGACAAACCCAAAGCTGCAAGCATTGCCCACATGAAGCACAGGAGAGCAGCAACCATGACTTCAGGAATTGAAGCAATAAACCCTCCAACTTTACCTGTGTATGGCAGAAATGTGGAGCGTATAGATTTCGGAAAATAATTCGAGAAACAGAAAAAAGAGAGCTTCAACTCTGCAACATTCCGTCTAATTCATTAACATTCCTTTTTTTTTTTCCCTATAAAAGCATCATAATAAGAATAATCGACGCAATGAAAATTTATGAGAGAAAATAATTAAATATATTAATTTAATTGTCAGTTCTATTCATGGGTATATAAAACAAAGTAAAATAAAAACTGCACGAGAAAAAAAAAATTAATAAATCTTGATTTGCTGAAAATGTTATATTGAAGATCCAAGGAATCTTGTACTATGCCAAGATGTGGGGCTGATTTTTTTTTTTCTTTATAATTTTTGACACCTCATTTGGCTGAACTTTGATTGTTAAGTGAAGCAGCAGCAGATAGCATGTGTTGCATGCAGGTGTTAGTTGATCATCTTAACTATTTTTTACTTATTAGTATTGAAAATCCCCCCAATAATTTGATCAATAATTCACAAAATGAAGAGGTAATTTCATGTTGACCTTTTTCATTATAATTTTTCTGCCAAAAAAATTCAATGTATATTATATGTTTATATCATGCAAATTGAATTCAGAACATGTTTCTCTTACCCTAATTACAAGGAAAAGCATGAACATTTTACTGATGAATTTCCTTTTTTTTATATATTGGGAGGATCGGATTTTCATATCTTCATCTCGTTAGATATGTATCAAACATAATTATTTCAAAGAAAATGAAAAATCCGAACAAGCAGCGAACGATATTAAACCTTAACATGGAGGAAACATTGTCAATTTGATCACATGCTTTTGTGTTAAGAAATTGGGCATAGCTCTGCCTCAGTGTCATCAAAACCAGTTGACAACTGCTGCTGAAAAATTATGGCCCGTTAAGTTTTAATTACTTTGAAGCTATATAAATGGCTGAAAATGAAATGATTTATACAGAAAAATGTCATCTTTTTGCACCATGTTGGAAACAATAGTTTCACAGTTACCATCTATTCTAACCTTAAAACTACAGTAACCGAACCCTAAAAGGGCAGAAGCACTTTCACTTTTGTGGTGTAGAGTAAAGGGTATAAATGATATATTAGTACTCGTAAGTTATTCAGGTTCGATTTGAATAAAATTTAAATTTGACTCAATTATTATTAAATCAAGCTGAAATTCAAGTAACTCGATTTATCGATTGAAGTCGAGTTTAAATATGAATAGCTCACGAGCCTAATCAAGCTTTTATATTTTAATATAATTTTTATTATTTTAATTAATAAATATATTGAACTTGAGCTTGAACTCAAGTATAAATAATTAAGTTTTTGTCAAAAATAAAAATTGATTTTATTTTTACATGTTAATCAAGTTTAATCAAGTGAGTTTGAATAACTTGATTTCTTTCTCGAATAGAGCTTAAACTAAAATATAAAATTTGATCGAATTCGAGTTGAGTTTTGAATCTCGAATTTTAAGTTAAATTCGAACTCAAACTTAATACTATATTAAACTCGACCGATTACATCATTAATGTAGAGTTGAAAACATTACAAAAAAAATAAAAACAAAATTAATAATAGTTAAGCATCAAACTTAAATTCTATTGATAATAGTTAAAAATTTTAATTTGAATATAAAATTATAAAAAATTTAATATTTAATATATATAAATAACACAACTTTAACACACTTCCATTACATATAAATGAAAATAAAAGCTTGTCAAGTAAAAACTTGAAAAGAATGACAAATAGAAGTAACATACAATAACAAAACAGAACCCTGAGTTAGTTTTGATATTATGTTAAAATCAATTGGTAATAGATAAAAAAACCAATTTGAAGATAAAAGTATAAAAAATCTAATATTTAAAAAATGTGAAATAAAAGCAGTAATAGCATTAATATATCAGAAAATCGTAACAGGTTCTTCTGTGAGATCAGCTGCAGAAATTTTCTTTGTTACATCATTTCATTGTTGACCTTCATGCAGGATTGGTCGTTGACATGATGATAGAGGGTGTGATGTTTAGATTACTTGGTTGAACAGCCACTCAGAAAATATTTAGATTCTTCAACTTCCACGTTTTAACTCATCAGACTATAGTAAAATACATAGAACATGGAATAAAGCGATCGGCTTTTGAGATGGAAAAAGCTGCATTAATCATCATTCTAGAAGTGAATTGTCTGTCTTTTTGAGATCAAGAAACAATTGGTAAATCAAATCTAGCACAGTTGAAAAGAAGCTAATCAAATCATAATGGGAAAATGTACAACAAGATGGAAACTAAGTCTTCATCAAAAGTGAAATGTCCCTCTGGACAATTTCAGTGAGCCAAAAACTAGATACAGTGTTTATAAATTTAGAATTACAACACAACTAGATCCCTCGAGATCCTCAATGTACACAAATAACTCATATCTATAGCACCTTTTAGCCCCAAAAAAGTGCCATCGTGTGAGCCAAAAAGAAACAGTTCGGACGGCTATTTACCAATATGAGCCCAAGGGTATGCTTTTAAAATCACAGTGCGGAGCAGTGATCCCCATGAATGTCTTATCTGATGAACTTGATGATGTCAAGATGGCTTAACAGGCCTAGAAAAAATTGTCAAAGCCCAACCCACTTTACCCATCTGAAAATCCGGCCGACCCGGAAGGGCAACCCGTAGTCTTTGACGACTGCAGGTTCCCTTCTTGCAGCATCTGATTCAGACCACACGTATATCCCGCGTTCTTGCGGACTTCCAGGTACGGTGTTGTCCAATATAACAGCCACAAGGAATGCTATTACCATGTGAAATGATAGCATCGTATTCATAACGTAGTTTACCTGCAAAAAAGACATTAAAAAGCAGATGCTTATTTATAGGTGAAATATTTTATGGCAGCTGGTTTTGAGTCAGAAAATTCAAAGGCATCCAGTGAAAGTAATAGAGCATGACAGAGCCTAACATTTTCTTGGATTCTATTGAAAGGATTCATAAATAAAGAATGTTTCCATGATCATAAAGTTTCCATTGCCCATGTATATCTTTTCCACTTTTCACCAACAATTAAATGTGTATAAGACTACATAGAATTCGCAAACACCGAGTTCGTAGTTAAATGAAAGTTAATGAGATACATACCCCTCCATATTTACTACGGAAAGGTCCATGAGATGCCACGATAAATGGTTGAAAATAACTTGCAACAGACAAGTTGGAATTTGGAGAGATGCCATATTGCTGGAAGTAAGCTGGTATTGAGAGGGAGAAAAATAAAGATAATCCAACTATTATGATATTCCGAGAGCTTCCGGCCTCACTATAACGTAGATTTGACAAACCCAAAGCTGCAAGCATTGCCCACATGAAGCACAGGAGAGCAGCAACCATGACTTCAGGAATTGAAGCAATAAACCCTCCAACTTTACCTGTGTATGGCAGAAATGTGGAGTGTATAAATTTCGGAAAATGATTTGCGAAAAAGAAAAAAGAGAGCTTCAACTCTGCAACAATCTGTCTAATTCATTAACATTTCTTCTTTTTTTTCCTATAAAAGCATAATAACAAGAATAATTAACACATTGCAAATTTATGAGACAACAATTGAATTTATTAATAATATCAGCCTAGGCTCATATTGGCCTAAGAGAAGCTCAACTTTCAACTTCTTCGATGAAGGTGATTTCCTTCTCCTTTCTCCACATTTTTTGGGAGCACATTATCGGCTAAGTTTACAAAGCCATAACTTTACCCTGATTTTTTCCCAACGAATTTAAATATCTCAGATTAATGCCAAATTAACTCAACAGAGCACACTTTGTTATAGATAAAATATATATGGATGAAGGAACACATCAGTGCTCAACATATAAACATGAAGAGTGCATTTAACTTGAGGACACTAAAATAACATCAAAATTACACAATTATATTAAAAAGCGGACTTGCAATGTTCCAGTAATACTTCTAAGAGAAGAACTAGACTGTCAGACTCAATGGTAAGCACCATATCCCTTTGTTCGTATTGTTTACTCAATGTCACTATAGATCTTGTACAGAGGAAAACAAGACCACAGCCTATCGTTTATGATCTTAGGAGATAATAAGGTACTTTGAAAATTCACTAAAAGAAACATTCCTAGTTATAATGCTCCTAATTATTATATGCTTCACTTTTATTCTTAAAAGTTAAAACATAATCCAAATGCAGTAACATAATTTAACTAGTAACATAAGAATTATTGAAACAAATTCCTGAAGATATGTGACCTAATAAAGCAGAAAGAATCATTCGATTAGTCATTAGAAATTGATTTGCTCTTGAATTCTCTTAATTATCTGGTCTATGCATGCAAAAAATACAATTAATATGATATGGCACATTAGATATATCATGTATTTTGACAGATTAAAAAGGATATTACAAGTTTTAGTGTCATGGAGCCATCTTTAAAGTTCAAAAAGTAAACTTGATTAAAACATACCTACTAGGGATAAGACTATCAAAACACATGCACCCAACTCAACAGCTCTGCGGCTTCCCATCTTCGTCACAGCAATTGTATGCACATTTTCAGTAAGAGTTGTGGATCCAGTTCCAGTACCCCAGAGACCAGCTAACATGCTGGACAGACCTTCAAGACCAATTCCTCTGCTAACAACACCAGGAGTTGGAGGTCTGGATGCCACCAGCAACGCTGATGCATGGTATGACCCAACCTAATTAATGCAGCAACCAAGGTAAAGTCATGGTCACATAAGCAACTTCAAAACAACAAAATGGAAACAAAGATTAAGAAAGGCTGAAATCACATATGGTACATGAGTGTCCATAAAATCTAGCAAAAAATTTTTTTAATGTATTCCAGCTTGAGGTAGACATGAACTCTTTTATGGTCCAATACTCCCTAGATGTGAGTAAGTTTGGCTAATCCAAGCGCTGGTTCCACCCCTGAGGCACTTCAAGGAATGCATATATGAAGACATGTAAACAAA